GGGAACCGCCTGAGGCTTCCCTGGGGAGGGTGTGGGACCCAGGCGGGTGGCGGGCGGCCGGTCACGTTTCCTCGGAGGGTCGCCTAGAAGTCCGAGTTGGGCTTTTCACGGGTCGGGAGCTGGGTTTTTAATGAAAGCACCGTTTTCCGTGACGTCTAAGGCGCTGTCACTGAGCCTGTTTGTGGACAGACACGCACGCCGGTGAACCCGTCACGGGCGTCAGTTCAGGGGGACGGGGGCTCCAAGCCAGCCTGCTGTGCACCCTCCGACCGGGTGACAGGGCGGGGAGGGGCGGGCAGGGCGCCCCTTCCTGTCCTGGTATCAGCCGGGCCTGTGCCCAGGTGTGCTCCTGTGGGTCTCTGGGATCTTGGGGACGAGGTCCCCGAGGGGGAGGCTGCTCTGAGCTCCGGAACAGCCCTGGCCCTTGGCTTCTGCGAGGGTCTCGGGGCTCGTCCTGGGGAACCCCCTCCCCACCCCCCAGGGAGCCTCACGTGAGCCGGTTCTGTGTCCCGGCAGCTACGCCCACGCCCTGGACGGCCTGTACCGCGTGGCCCGTGAAGGTGAGGAGCCGGGCAGGAGCCGGGCAGGGGCTGGGGCAGGGGCCGGGCAGGGGCTGGGCAGCCCCAGCTGGGAGCCCAGAGCCCAAGGAGCAGAGGGGAAGGAGCATCGTCCAGAGCTGGGCAGCCGGTGGATGTGGCCGGTGCCCACCTTCTCCTCCCTCCGCAGAGGGTCTGAGGAAGCTGTTCTCGGGTGCAACCATGGCCTCCAGTCGGGGGATGCTGGTCACTGTGGGCCAGGTAGGCCTTGTACAGGGGAAGAGGGGCTCAGGGGAGCCTCCTGGGGTCCCTGCCCCCCCCCCAGAGACCACAGAGGAAGGTGGTGGCCACAGGTGGGCACTGGGAAGTGGGCACAGGCAGGTCGGGTGTATGGTCTTGGGCAGGCCCCTCCCTGCCTGGTCTCACCTGTCCAGCAGCCCCAGTACATGAGGTGACTGCCAGCAGGCGCTAGTTGATCCGGGGGGTGTCCCTGTGGGCCCTGTCGGCGCTCCCAGGAGCCGGGGGGCCGGGCCCTGACCTCCCTGCACCCACAGCTGTCCTGCTACGATCAGGCCAAGCAGCTGGTCCTGGGCACGGGGTACCTGTCGGACGGCATCGTCACACACTTCATCGCCAGCTTCATCGCCGTGAGTGCCAGGCGGGGCGGGGCGCTGGATGCCCCCCTCAGACTGGGGGTGCCAGGCCGGGAGAGGGGCACCCCGGCCCTGGCTAGAGTGGTCAGTGCCCCCTGCAGCCCTGGGTCACCTCCCAGGCCTGGGCAGGCCTGTGGGGGTTGAGGGACTCCCAGGGGTCGTACGTGGCAGGCCCGTTGGTGACGTGCCCTTCCCCCCACCCCAGGGCGGGTGTGCCACGGTCCTGTGCCAGCCCCTGGACGTGCTGAAAACCCGCCTGATGAATTCCAAGGGCGAGTACCAGGTGAGCGGGGCCTGGGGGTCCCTGCCCTGCGGCTGCCAGGCTCTGGCCCTGGGGTGGCCAAGAGCTGTTCTCTCCCCCCGATGGGTCCCTCCCAGCCGCCTACAGGCAGCCCTGGCCCCGTGTGTCCCTGAGTCAGTCTCTGATATACTAACTGGCAGGCGCCCGGTGCCCACCCAGTGAGCACAACCTGGGCTCCACAGTGCCCTGATGTGCCCACGGCGCCTTCTGTGTCTTCACGCGCCTGCGGCCCTGCCCCTGTTCTCCCCACCCCACTCGGTGCCTGACAGCCAGCCTGCTGCTGGCACCCTGGGCCCCCCTCCCCCGCCTGCCCTCAGGCTCTGGTTCTGCCGCATCAGCAGTCAGCCGGGCAGCGACCAGGCGGCCGTGACCTTTTGGCTCACACGTCCCATGTCTGAACATCGGGCCGCGCTCTGCACTGGCCTGCGGCCCGGCTGTGGGAGGGGGTTGTGCTCCGTGTGGAAGGGGCGCAGCCCCATCTGCCTCACTCGTTCCTCAGGGCGTGCTGCACTGCACCATGGAGACGGCGAAGCTGGGGCCGCTGGCCTTCTACAAGGTTCGGGGGAGGGTGCGTGGGTGGCACGGTGGTGGGGGAGGGGTGG